GCTTTGGCTTTTCCGGCCATAGCTGATCCACAACAGACCTCATGGCGAGTCCGGACAACCTATTCAGTTCGGCCCATTCGGCTAGCTGGTCAGTCAATGAAAGCGGACGCTCTGGAACATTGAATTGCGACCAGAACAGCTTGTCCACTTCACGATCTGTTTGACCTTGGAAGTACTTGGCCGCATCGGCAGCGCTCGCTGCCAAATCCATATACGCATCTGCCGAACTCCACAGCCGATCCAGAGGGGCATACCGTGGATCTCCGAACTTCCTCCGTAACATGAAGGGCTTCCCAGCCGCAATATCCCCGGCTTCCCGCAGCTCCTCCTTCTTCGCTCTCATAGCAGAACGGGTGTCTTTGTCCGTCATCGTGGCCTTCTCAAGGTCTGTTGCCTTCGCTCGGTTTTCTTTTTCAAGGACACGGCAACGGTCGGCAGTGTCTTTTAATTATACAGCCATCTTGGCCATCTTCTCTTCGCTCTCGCAATGTGCGGCCTTCTTGGCTTTCAACTCTCCGGCCGCCTTCAAAGCAGCCGCATTACTAATCCTCGTTTGTTCCTTGGCTCGGGCAAGGTCTGCCCGCAAGGTTTCCATGGTGGCAGCACCATATGCAGTCACAACATATTAAAGATACTGGCATCATGCTGCTCTTACTATGTGGCGTTCACCAAATAATAACTCTTACCCTGTGCCTCGTCAAGCCTCTTGTTAACAAGCTCGATGTCGGCGTCTGTCGCATCCAGTTGTCGTTTTAATTTGGCAAACTCACTAGTCCGGCTAGCCACCGGAGCTTCCACCACCTGCACATAGGGGCAGTCTGGTTATTGCCTGGGACTACGATCCTCTGTTCGCCACCATTCTCGACGACAACCAGAGTCTCAGGGGCTACTATCTACACAGGGCACACCTAACATGTGCAGTACTATCACATATTATCTCACGTACCTCAAAACCTGTCAGTAGACTCATAAAAGCTTCATGTAATCCGCTTTCGGCGGACGAAATTCTCTCCATCACCGTACCCATCAGTGTATGGTGTTCTTCTGAGATGGCCGCTCGCCCCACCAGCTCCCTCAGAATGTCCGACCGCATACCAGACGGTGCCGGACTATTTTGTTTGCTCTCTTCAGGAGCCGAACGCTGGGGACTTCGGGGGTCTATGGGATTATCTTCTGGCCTCACCGGATCCGGAGAGGCCCTCCGTGACGACACTTCGGGGTCGCCCACTTCTTGAGCGGAGGAGTCCGGGGGAGGCGTTTCGCTCTCCATCATCTCTGGAAGAAGATCCCCCGAAGACGAGCTCAACTAAGAGGGGCTAAGGCCCGAACTGCAAGATATATGCGATGGTTATTTTCTCAGAAAAAGATAGCATACCTTTACTATTAAAGTATTTTGGATCACTTATGACTCGTTGGAGGGCTGATCCCCCCGCGGACTTTATGCGGCAAAAGCACCCCCCGAGGCAGGACCCTCTGTGGGAGACTTCTTCTCCCGTTTGGAGGCTTCGGCTTCCGGATCCTCGGAAGCAGTCCTTTTCCTCCCCCGGTTATCCTCCTTCATGGAGACACTCATTCCCTCGGTTGGAACTGGCAGTGATGGGGGCCCGCGTCCGCCCGTATTATCCTCCCCCCCGTATCTTCCTTCGAGGGCTCCGGGCAAGGTGCGACCTCGAGCATCTTTTCCAATACCGGATTTTCCAAACCCTCAGGGAGGGGGGCCAAACATCGAATCATCTTCGCCTTTGTTATCCAGTCCTGGTCAAAAAGCGAACTCTCAGAAATAACTTCATGATGAATAAAAGACAGTGTGTTCGGCTAGAGGATTTCTTACTTGTTCGGTGGCGCGGTTACTGCTCAGGCCCACATCCTCGGTAATATCCAAACACTCTACTTGAGGTCCGAAGAATGACTTGTACATCTCCTCGTGCGTCAGGCCGAGGAAACTTTGAATGGCACGCGGTCCCTCTGGGTTGAACTCCCACAAGCGAAGGGGCCGGCGTTTGCAAGGCTGGACTTGACGAACCAGCATAACTTGTATTACCACAACCAAATTAAAGTCTCCCTCGAAGAGATCTCGAATGCGGCTTTGCAGTATAGGCACGTCCTTGGCTGGACCCCAGCTCATACCTCTGCTAATCCATGACATCAGTTGTGGTGGGGGGCCCGAGCGGAAAGCAGGGGCAGCTGCCCACTTGGCACTTCTGGGAGCCGTGACGTAAAACCACTCCCGTTGCCATAATTCGAACACCTCTGGAAAGGAACCTTTCGGCCATGGAGCTCCTGCCATCTTGCCTATTGATGCACCTCCGCACGCTGCATGTTGCCCCTCGATCATCTTCGGCTTCACTTCAAAGGTCTTGAGCCACAGGCCGAAGTGAGGGGTAATGCGGAGGAAGGCCTCACACACGACAATAAATGTCGAGATGTGGAGAAAGGAGTCTGGAGCTAGATCGTGGAAATCTAGCCCGTAATAGAACATCAAACCCCTGACGAAGGGATCCAGAGTGTGGCCTAGGCCTCGGAGGAAGTGGGAGACGAACACGACGTTCTCATTGGGTTCGGGAGTAGGGACGACCTGCCCTCGAGCAGGCAGCCGATGCGAAACCTCGGCGGTCAGGTATCTGGCCTCCCTCAACTTCTTAATGTCCTCTTCCGTAACGGAGGAGGGCATCCATCGGCCTTGAAGGCTGGATCGGGACATGATTGAAGATCCGGAGCACCTAACCTGGGCTTTGGGTGTTAGAACTCGAGGCGGGGGAAGGGTTCGATTGAGCACGAGAGGGAAAAAGCGAAAACCTTGTCCCTTTATAAAGAGGGTGAATATCAAGCGTCCTCTCCATAGCCGTTTAGGACTTGCCTATAATCTACGAGTCCTAGACACGGTTGGGTTACCCACGACCGCATTAATGAGAATCCCGTAATTGGGAGAACACGATCTCTGCTTTGACAAGACGTGTCAAGAAACCGCCTCGCGTTATATGTGGAGCTGGTTGAAGAAAAACGGTTCGAATAATCGCCGGGCCATGACATAATGTCATGCTGCCAAAACAAGTCAGCAAATTGGATTTGCGAAAATATTATTCTCTCTACAGCGGTATGTGGAACTTATTTTGCAGGGTCGGACACTATCCTCGTATTCAAATTCTCCTGTGATGTATTCAGAGAAGGAACCCGCATTGCAATGCCGAAGACAATACTGTGCGCCGGACTCATCGTCATTGAAGCCTGGTTCAGGGGCTACCGAGGGAGTCCTGGATTAGGGGGTCTCCGGACAGCCGGACTATCTTCATTGGCCGGACTGTTAGACTATGAAGATACAAGATTGAAGACTTCGTCTCGTGTCCGGATGGGACTCTACTTGGCGTGAAAGACAAGCTAGGCAATACGGATATTGATATCTCCTCCTTTGTAACCGACCTTGTGTAACCCTAACCCTCTCCGGTGTCTATATAAACCGAAGGGTTTTAGTCCGTAGGACAACAAGCACAATATACAATCATACCATAGGCTAGCTTCTAGGGTTTAGCCTCTCCGATCTCGTGGTAGATCTACTCTTGTACTACCCATATCATCAATATTAATCAAGCAGGACGTAGGGTTTTACCTCCATCAAGAGGGCCCGAACCTGGGTAAAACATTGTGTCCCCTGCCTCCTGTTACCATCCAGCCTAGACGCACAGTTCGGGACCTCCTACCCGAGATCCACCGGTTTTGACACCGACAGTCGGCCTGCCAACTTTTGACCAAGTCAAGTGGACCTTAAGTAGTCCTTTGACCGGGTCAGCCTTTTTAACTAAATAAATTGTTGTTAGGCCATGAGACATTGATACGTCTCCAAGGCATCTAATTTTTCAAACACTTTTGCTCTTGTTTTAGACTCTAATTTGCATGATTTGAATGAAACTAATCTGGACTAATGCTGTTTTTAGAAAACTATCTTAATGCTATTTTTGTGCAGAAATAAAATTTTTCAAAATTGGATGAAAATTTACTAAGAATTATTTTGAAATTAATAAAAAAACTATTGGCGAAAATATCTACTAGAAGGGGGCCACCACAAAACCACAAGCTCAGGTGGCCCCCCTACGGTGCGCCACGTGAGCTTGTGGGCCCCTTGGTGCTCCGTTTACCCTACCTCCAAGTCCATAAACATCGTCTTCCCGAGCTCCGTTTGCCACCATCTCCATTCAACGCCGCCACCCCTGGCTTCCAGAGCCCCCACGCCAAGCGCGAGGCAACAAATCCTCGCCGCCACCTTCACCGGTAGATGCGTAATAGCTAACGGCCTCCTCGGGCGGCGGTGGAGAGGGAGGAAGGAAGGGGAGAAATGGTGGTGGCGGCTAGGGTTGGGTCGCTCCCATGTCGCATGAGAGGGGCGACACGAGAGCTAGGGGGAGTGGTGTTCTTGTGCCACTTTATTCAACCTTTTTTATTTGACTGAAATTCAATTCAATGTTTATATAAAAAAAAATCTCTAAGCGAATTTCAGTTGACCATTCTTACAGAAAGAGGTGAGATGAACAAGTCCATTTCACTCCATCCCTCAAACCAGACACAAAAATTTGTAGCCATTTCGTTTCGCCGAATTTTTGCATACCAAACACGAGCACGGAATCGACCCATTCTAATGGAATGAAACCATGACATTTCATTATGCTTGGTTCCCAAACCAAATACTTTCTCTGTCTCAAAATATAAGAACGTTTTTAACACTACATTAGTATTAAAAATGTTCTTATATTATGGAACGGAGGGAGTACATCCTAATCGAATCACCAAGTGCACAGAAATTTAAACTCTCAAATTTTGAAGAGTTAAATTTAGGAGACGGCACACGGAGTTACTCGCTCTATCATGTCGCAGTTCACTGGCGAGACCGGGTAAAATTCGAAACCTGACCCGGCGTAATCCACAACCTTACCCTCTCCTGCCCCGGAAAGAAAAGCTCTCTCCCCTCCCAAAACCCCGTCCACATCTCCGGCGGACACCATCCGCATCCAATGGAGTCCTCCCTCCTCCTCTCCTCCGCCCGCCCCCTCAAGCCCTCCCTCGTCGCGCCCTCCTCCTCCTCCTTCGCCCGTCGACGCTGCGCCTCCTTCGGCCCGAAGCTTCTGTTTCGACGCCTCCCCTCCCTGCCGCCGCGCGCCCGCCGGTGGAGCGTGGCGCCGCGCGCTGCGTCCGAGGCGTTCGACGGAATTCAGAGCCAGGACAAGCCTCCCGGGGTCGGAGGCGGGGGCGCGCGCCGGAGAGCCTACCGCGAGGAGCAAGGGGAGCCCGTCGCCCGCCCCTTGGGTGCTGGAGCGGGGGGCATCACTCGCTACATCGTCCCGGCAGGGGCGTTGCTCGCGCTGAGCTTTGGTATAGCCTGACTGTTTCCTCTCTATGCTTTCTCTTCCAATTTCCAACTTATCATAGTTGAACAGTCATCTTATCATCACGAGTAGATGCCCTGCTCCCTGCTCCCTACTGAGCACATCTCCCACGAAATACTCTGACTCTTGATGCTTAGTGTTCCTTAGAATATGTGCACAGTGTTGACCACTGACCAGCTGATAGCGTGATTTCCTAGTTACAATTTCCCCCCGAAAAGGAGTGAATGCCCCTGACGGCCTGACCTATGCAGCGATTGATGTGGCAACCATCTTTATTGCAAAGTCTTTGATGCTTATACAAGCAAAAAAAGAAAGAAAGACAGATTCAGAAAGATCACAACCGTGAATGATTGCATGATACTATCTCCGTCCGGGTTTACTAGTCCTTGTATTTTGGGTCATATTTTGACCATAAATTTAACTAGTGAAATATAAGTTGTCTGTAGTGAAAATAATATCATTGGAAACTACGTTCAAATACGTATCCAACAATATAATTTTTAGTGACATGCATTAACACTTTTCTAGTCAAATATGTGGTCAAACTTTGACCCAAAGTACGATGGTGACTAATAAACCCGGACGGAGGTAGTACAACTGATGCATCAGTAATGCTATTGCTGGACCAGGACATTGCTCCCCTATTGTGGTCAAAATTTATTGGGTTTAGGGAAACTGCTGGAGCGTGTTTTTGTTGTCAATTTCCCCTATACGTGATATTTTTTTTGGAATAGGGGAGCTGCTGGAGATGCTCTTTGAGACTAGAGAATCCCACGCCTCCACACGGTGTAGTAAGCACCACATTCGGTTCCTATGTGTGGCCACATGAATAACCTGCAGGAAGTTTTTTTTTGTTACAAATAATATCATCACGACAATGCCACATAGCCCAACATAAGGCACACACGCCACCTGAGCCTTTAGTTGTCTATTTACCCCAGGCAGCCAATTTCCAAACATATTCAAGATACTAGCTGGCGGAAATAGGTTGAAGGCCAGAAAAATAATCTGCCATGTGAGACGAGCGGAGGGGCAAAAGAGAGAAGATCTTGAATGGTTTCGTCCTGATCGCTGCGGCAGCACTTTTTGTTGCCATTCCAATTGTGCCTGGCCCGATTGTCTTTTATTCAAACTTCGAACTAGCCTTTTATTCAAACTTCGAACTAGCCCTCCACATTGGTACCAAATGAAAGTCTTAATCTTAATGGGACCTTACTACAGATGTATGCTGTACAGGATGCAAAGTTCATAATCTGCTCACATGTTGTTGTTCATCTTGTTTTGAGAGTTGGTATCTGGAACGGCTACTAATTCTCTGTTTCAGAGGACAGTCATTTGGAAGGTGGTTGAGAATTTCCTCCCCCTAAAGAGAAAGGATCAGAATTCTGGAGAACCTATGTCTTCTGGGGTCACGTGGTCCTTTGCTGCCGGCTCCAATTTGTCAACATCTACAAGCATTAAAGCCCAAAAGGAGTCGAAGAAAAATCTAAACAAGTTTTATAAGGAACTTCGGACACTGAAAACCGTTAACATGGCAGGTATTTCGAAGAACTGAAGTTAAAATATTTTGCTAGCAAATGCGAGCTAAAGCTCTTGTAAGACAACTAGTGTGCTATATTGCCTTTCTCTTTAATAGCCCAGTTGTTTGGCAGGCCGTCAATTCGGGGATGAGGGACTATTCTTCCTAGCAGAAAGCTTAGCCTATAACAAGGTTAGATATCTAATGTAGTGATTGAATCTTAGCCTATAACAAGGTTAGATATGTAATGTAGCAGACATGGCACTTTCAGATTTCCTAATATCTTTGTGAACATTTGTTGTTTTCTTTGTTCCCAGAGTGCTGAAGAGGTGGACTTTTCGGGTAATGCGATAACAGCTGCGGGAATAGAAGCTTTCGATGGCATTCTCCAGATAAACACAGCTTTGAAGACTCTCAATTTATCTGGAAATATCATTGGAGATGAAGGAGCCAAGGTCTTCTCAACCTTATCAATTTATCATCCCTGCCTTCCATTTTGTTCTGTAGTTTGTCTGTTGTATACCATGCAAATCATATACTCCCTCCATTCCTAAATATAAGTCTTTTTAGAGATTACAATAAGGACTATATACTGATGTATATAGACATATTTTAGAGTGTAGATTCACTCGTTTTACTCCGTATGTAGTCTGCGTTGAAATCTCTAAAAAGACTTATATTTAGGAATGGAGGGAGTATTATGTTCTGATTTTGTGCTCTGAAATTGTAGAGTAAATGGCTTTGCAATTACTTACTATGACTTGTTTTTCCTTTCTGGCCAGTGTTGCATGATAATTCTGTCATCTGATTTGCATTATGATTGTTCGCATCCATCCCTATTAGGAGGTTTTCACCTCATGTTAGTTTCAAATATTTATGTCTAATTTCATTAGCAGCAAACCTGACCTTGGCATGCAATTTTTTAAGAAATGCAGAACAGTAATTGAGTATATTTGCATAAATTCCCACTGAATGTAACACTCATGAATGCTTACAGTGTCTTTCAGATATATTGGTTGAAAACGTAGGTATTCAGAAGCTCTTCCTGAACAGTACAAATATCGGAGATGAGGTTTCCTCTCTCTCTCTCTCTCTCTCTCTCTCTCTCTGTGTGTGTGTGTGTGTGTGTGTGTGTGTGTGTGTGTACCTCTTGTGACATAACATGCAATTTCTTTTTTCAGGGGGCAAAAGCAATTTCAGATCTGCTGAAAAAGAACAAAACAATACGTATTGTACAGCTTAGCAACAATACAATAGAATACAGTGTATGTATAAATATCTATTGAAGCAAATACATTCACTTGAATCACAAAAGGAGAAAGGGCTTACTATATGATTGCATGCTTGAAGAATTATGATAGCATCCTTGTTTTTTTGTCTTGGAACAGGGTTTTGCAAGTATTGCAGATGCACTTCTTGAGAATAATACGCTACGGAGTTTGTATCTCAAGTTAGTCGCTCACAAACCTAGTGCCTTTACCCGTGATGCTACAACGAATATGCATATCAAGCTGTGGACAGTTGACATTGTGTTTGAATCGATCTTACTAACTAATTGTACACTCTATTCGATGTATTCTAGTGGCAACTATGGTGGTCCTCTCGGTGCATCCAGCCTAGCAAAAGGAGTTGTAGGGAACAAATCTCTCAGGGTACTACTCGATATATCCGATTACGTACTTCCACATTGTTTGCTTATCGGTTTTTTAAGTTACAATGTTCCATGGAAACCAGATACCATGCATTCTGCCTATTAAGTCCGGACATATATTTATTTTGCTCACTAAAGGGCAAAGTACATTTTTAGATGGGTCCAGATATGGCGTGGAGCAATTTGGTCACCTACATGTTTACTTCCTTGTTGTGTATCTGGCACTATGTTAATTTGTTTTGGAATTTGAAGTCATGCTGGTACTTTTTATGAGGTGATAACCACAGAACTCTTTTCCTACCATATATGACCAAAGATCTTTAGGACGTTAGGTTGAATTGTGAAGTATGTTTTTGTTCCTGTGAGTTCTTATTGTTTGTCCATTTTCTCTCATGTTGATTAACCTTAAATTTGTTAGGAACTTCATTTACATGGTAACGGATTTGGGAACGAGGGATTACGGGTGTTGATGTCTGCATTATCTGCTCACAAAGGTGTCTCTTTTGGCTATCCACATTAACTAGCTTTTATTTGGTTGATTGGTTGCAAAAGTTCATAATTCATTGCTTGTTTGGCTGAGTTACAGGGAAGATAACAGTCTTGGATATTGGTAACAACAACATTACATCAGAAGGTTCTCTCTATGTAGCTGAGTTCATCAAAGTGACAAAGTCTCTACGGTGGCTCAGCCTGTACATGGATGATGTTGGTGACGAGGTAGTATTGTTGTTACTGTTTACCCTTGTTTGTTAAAAGTATTGTGGTGTGTACATATAATAGGACTGCTTTAGAACTTTTGGCTGTCAGTTTCATTTTTTCTGGAACATGTGGAGCTATACCTTTTTGATGTAACTGTGATCCTTTTCAGAAACTTAAAGGGTGTGGCTAGATCTCAGTCGACCTAACATATTCCTATGGTTGTTCTTCCTCTCCTTTTGAACTGAAAAAACTGAGTCGAGTTAGCTGGCATATAGTGAATCTACTACCCTGTTGTGTACTGAGAGGCTTGCTTAGGAGAGATTGATGAATTTAGGAAGGAAAAGTTGATTTCTCATTGTTTGCCTAGAAATATATAAGACCTAGCTTTATATCCACGGTTGGGTACAGATTGTAAATAGCAAACTCAATCTCTAACTGATAACTATCTAATCTATCCGTATACTTGTTGATAGCCTTTCTGTAACTAATTGATAGGCACATGAGTTGTCTCTCCAAGCAGGTGTGCCCGCTCTAGGCCCAAGGCCCACATTCTCCACCCATGACATGCCCATTTTTTCCTTCTGGGTATTGTCAACTAGAAAATGTACTGTACCGTGAAATCTCAAGACGTACACCCCTTTAGTCATTTGGCAGCACACTGGGCTTGGAAAAATGTGGCTCAGCCCATCGCCTCACATGGCCTGTCTCCTGTAGCAAGTAATAAAGGCACCATGACTTCACTGTGGATGTACATCTGCGTGATATCACCTAGGCTGAACTGATGTGAAATTGTGAACATCATTATTGGTACTTTATTTGACATGGACTTTGGAGATGTAATTGCTTGGAACTCTGGACTTGTTTATGTTTGAATCTGTGCTTTATGTATGTTACTTTCTTTCACATGATTGTTCTAGTGCTGGAAGCTAGCAAAGTCATTGTTCTGTAGTCTTGTTGCTTATTCATTGTTTATTAGCTAATACTCTAACTCTCACTGCATTGAATAGATAATGACAAATACATGATACCTCACATGAGTTCCATATATAGCATTACATGTGCAATTCAACTGGCTTTTAATGTAGGTTAACATGATTTGTTTTTTTTTTCAGGGAGCTGAAAAGGTGGCAGATGCTCTGAAACAGAACAAAACAATTTCTACAATGGACTTTGTGAGTATTATTTGTATTTTTTTTACCATTGACACAAAGAATGTCAAATACTTAATTTTACATTATTACCACACATTCCTAAAAAAAGTCATATTACCACACATTCCTAAAAAAAGTCATATTACCACATAATCTCAGAATAAGGTTGCATGTTGCTCTGTGTTGTACTTCAGAAACTATTAGTTCCCATGAAGTTTTTGTCATTAGCACAAGAGCTCTGAAGTTCCTTTATTTTTCAGGGTGGTAATAACATTCACTCTCGAGGGGTAACTGCAATAGCTGAAACTTTGAAGGAGAATGAAGTGCTAACAACAGTAAGTAAACATATCATCCAAACCATTTTATTGCATGAAATAAGGCACTTCCACTGATTCAGAATGTTACCTGTAGCTGGAGTTGAGTTATAACCCAATTGGACCAGAGGGGGTAAAGGCTTTGTGCGATGTTCTCAAGTTCAACGGCAAACTCCAAACCCTTAAGCTTGGTTGGTGCCAGGTAATTCAGAACTTAATCGAAGCGTGGCTGCAGATTTAAGTATTCTTTAATCTTGCCTCTTCAGCCGAGTTATGTATCCTGCAGATAGGTGTGTCAGGTGCAGAGTTCATTGCTGATTGTTTGAAGTATAACACAACATTGTCGACATTGGATTTGCGGGCAAATGGACTTGGAGATGATGTATGTGTAATCGTTGGTACATGTTCGTTAAACTTGCACGTGCTATATGATCCATCCTTTTTGACTCTTTTCCTATTCCTGAAGGGTGCTATCTGCTTGGCGCGAAGTTTGAAGATAATCAATGAATCCTTGAAATCACTTGACCTTGGATTTAATGAGATTAGAGTAAGAAATACAGTTTTCAGTGTGTCAGCTATTGGCATATCTTCACTATGCTCAACATCCTTTATACGTGTGACAGGATGATGGAGCATTTGCATTGGCACAAGCACTCAAGGCCAATGAGGATCTTGCAGTCACATCATTAATGCTCGCAAACAACTTCTTTGGGAAATTTGGACAGGTTAGTTTCCTTACCAGTTTCTCTGTTTATGGTGGCACATTTAAAGTTAGGTTGGCGATTTATTTGAGTCAATACAGGTTGCTCTGACCGAGGCACGGGATCATGTATACGAGATGAGTGGAAAGGAAATAGACATTTATTATTAGTACAATTGGTTTCTCATTGCACTGTAGCTACTATCCGATGGTTCAGCTTGTCGGTGGATGGCCTGCTTTCTGCATAGTTGACTGTAATTGAGGCTTTTGGGCATTACTCAAGTAGATCAAAGGAAATGGGGGAAGAGCATGGCTTATGCTTTGCTATGCAAATTTTGGTAAACTACTTGACTGTAGTTTAATCATTCAGCTGTATATATGCAAATTTTCAGAGGCACTTGCCATTCTTATTGGTTGTAATGGACCATATCCTTCATTTCAGGTATGGATTTGGCTAATTAGTGATGACTTTTGCCAGCTTTTTTTCTTTAGTCTGGTTGTCATTTGTCATACATATATAACTTATTTATTTTTGAATCATACGATCACTTACATACTAAGTAGAGTCATCGTCAAGCCTGATGATTTTGTCATGGGGTCATCTGGGAAAAACGTTTCTGCTCGTGTAAGTGTATACACCCATTCTCTAGACCATTCTGTGTTGCATTTACATTCAACCCCACAATTTCCACCGCATGACCATGCAAAGTTTCATGTGGTACATTTCGATTTTACATTATCATCCATGCTGAATGGGATTCACTGAGCTCATCTACTGTTATGTTGTGATGGAAACTATAATAACCTGGTACTTTGTGTTGGGCATTCCCTGGATTTATGCATTTTTTTCTGTTCGCGGTGGGTAGATAAAGGGTGAGGCAATATCACTTCTTGGACACTTCACTTGCAGTGACCCCAAATTTTTATTACTGTTTTGGTTTTATAGGAGATATGGAGTAAAATGTCATTTTTGCCCTTGGAACCAACTAGGATCACTGTTGGTCGTGGATGTAAAACTATTTTTGTTTTAGAACAGTGAGGACAGGATATCGTTTTTGTCCATGGCGAAAAGTAAGCACATAGGTCATTGCCCGTGAGAGTATCTGTTACTTCCACATGTGTTGTTTCCATGCTACCTGAGAACGGATGCGTAATCTAAAAGTTCTTGATTTTTTTGACAACCTTGATACGTGATGCACCTGCCATGGCACGCAATTCAAGACCGGCTTTTATTCACAGCTCGGTGAAAAACGAATAGGCAAATCCAACTGTGGATAGTACACAATTTTAATAGTATATGTTCTGTACTATTAACATTCTGATTTGTCATTTTTCTTGTTTCTTGATCGATCAAGTTTTAAAACGAAATGTTTGGACAATGGTAGGCTTTTTTTTTGTGAGAGATGGGCACTGATAGATGCATCCTGTATCTATTTTGTCAAACGTATTCAGATTTTTCTTGTAAATTTACTGGTTGTAGTTTTACATGTAAGTGGATGGAAGCATCGTCAGAACAGGAGGGATCACTGCGAGCAAGACGAACTCTAACGACTTCTACGGATACCATCCAGGGTGGATCGTGCGTTTTTTAGGGAAGTGCGTTTTTTCTAGAAGAGGTGGGTCTTACGTAGAAGTGTTGAAATCAATTGGGCTAGGCCCATTAACAACTCGAATGAAGGCTAGTCCACCACCCATGGTGTTTCTCAGAGTAATTTTTTTTGTGAAAGAAAAGTAAATCATAAATCAGTCGATAAAATATAAGAATTAAAAGAGACGATCCCACATGTTATGATGCCAATATTATTCGATTCTAGCGAATCAACCTGTGGTTGAGTTGGTTAGGTGGACAGTGGTATCCCCAACCCACCAGGGTTCAAATCCTACTGCTCGCACGCCTACGGTGACTTCGTAAATCTCAAGATGATATGCCGGCTCAGTCTCTCGGAGGTGCTCATAGGGGTAGGGTGTGCGTGTGTGCGTTCATAGGGGTGAGTGTATGCGCGTGTATATGAGCGCTTGTGTCTGTACTGATGCTCAAAAAATATTATTCGATTCTAACATATTGGCTGAGGGCCTCCTTTAATCATGCATAACCATCTTAACTAGAAATCGATCTTATCCAACGAAGCTAGTACCAGGCTATGTAGTGTAGCTGCACTCAACCGGCACCTTGCCGTTCTGGAACCGATCCTTGTCGGCGCAGTAGTCGTAGTTCATGTACGTCCTCCGGACGTGCTCGTAGGCCGCCTGCTCCCGGACGGACAGCCGCCTGTGCCTGCGGGCGTTCCACCACAGGTCCGTCGAGTCGCACGGCGTCGAGCTGGTGTTGGCGCAGGCGTCGACGTCGAAGCCCCGGAACCCCGCGGTGAAGGGCGCGCGGCCCCAGTCGATCTTGATCCTGCCGCCGTCCGTCGCCCAGTCGGAGCCGTCCCACAGGCTCGCCCGCACGCCCATCTGCTTCGCCGGGAACTCGTACTCCGGCACCTGCCCCGTCAGGTTCCTCAGCACCCGTATCGGCACATCGTCCACCAATATCCTGCGAATATATTGCACGTGATCTCTTCAGATTTCAATGCAAGTTGAGAAAATGCATGTACTTATTTTCTTGGAAATGGAGGCACACGTACACGAGCTGGTAAGGGTTCCAGAGTATCTTGTACTCGTGGAAGTCGGCTGCCGGGTCGAACCACAGGTTGAGCCTCTGCTCCCTGTCGCCGTCGCCGTTGACGAAGACGTTGGTCTGGAGGGTGATGTTCTCGCCGTCCACGTTGCCCAGGAACTCGAAGTCCACCTCGTCGCGGTCACCGCCATCATAAGGTGCTTCCGACGCCAGCTGCATGCATCCATGCAACTTAAAATCATAGCTGTAGCTCTGCCGCCATGAGCAGCAAGCACGGATATATCAGCGACTCACATAGAAGGCTGTGACGACTCCGGCCGTGTACCCTCCGGGCACCTTGATCCTCATGCGGAAGAACCCCGACCCGTACGTCGACCTGGAGCGGAACCCTGCGCCGGAGGTTCTGTCCATGGTGAGACGGGTCTCCGTGCCCTGGTCGACGAGGTGGTAGCCGTCTGCGCCCCACGAGGGCACGTAGTTGTTGTCGAACACCGTCGCCGTGGCCAAGGACGGGAGGAGGACGATCAGGAGGAGGTGCCATGGCTGCCGCACGCTGGAAGCCATTGCTAGCTAGCTTAGCCACGAGATGTGTGTGCGCTTGCTCTTGCTTTATACTTGGCCATGTAATATGGAGGTGTGGACTGCGTGTCTAGTGTGTGCACGTTAGATCGATTCGGCAGGTCCGTCGGCGGGGCTTCTCGAACACGCACTTACGCATCCATGCACGCGTTGGCCGTTGCCATATATGGTGTCGTCGTCATCGTGGTGATGTCTTGTTTCCAGTTTGGGTCTTTGCTTCATGATCACATTCACAAACACTAGACAGGCTCATGGTTCTTAGTAGCACTGCTGCACGCGTGTGTTGGTTTGCTGATTCAGACGCGTATATTCTCGGTCTTTGATTAGGGCATTTCCTTAGTCACGTGGCTTAGGGCTTAGACGCTTAGTTGTCTTGTAAATGTTGTTAACATAGTGTAGAGAGAACATAAAAACACTCCCAACGATCCATAGTCATGAGCAGTAGTACTATGTACTTTATTCGTTAGTACTCCAACTGTCTGAAAATAAGTGTCTCAACTTTGTAGTACTTAAGACATTTATTTTG